CTTCCTTTGTCATGCAAGGTCAAGGCCAGACAAAATAAACACTAATCCAAATGGGAGTTTATTACTGTCTGCTACTTAAAGGAAAATGGCCCATTATTACAAACATTAAACTAATAAATCTTAAATGAATTGCCTACAAAGCGGTATTTTCACGCAAATCCACAAAATTTGATTCAATAAAAACTTTTCGAAAATATTCCGTTAAAAAACTGGGCTAAGGCAAAAATGAAATAATGGCGCTTCTTTTTTACATAACTTGGTAAAAACTTCGAACAAGTCCCCAACTTTGGCATTATTCTTTGAATTATCACAGTCTCTTCGGTGTCTGTTGCAAGGTTCAGAGCAAGATCCCATAGGTACTTACTTTAAAAGTATAATATTGTTGCATAGAAATTGAAAAAAAACAAAGTGATGACTTAACAAATAGTATAACTACAGAAAAGTACCGAATTCCCCGAAAACGCTAAACAAAATCAAAAAAGGACAAACTACACACAACCAAGGTAACAAAACCAAGGTCGGAAAATCCAAGTATTACAAGTCCTTCTACACCTACAAATGTGTGCTGACCAAGACCTTTCCGATTGGCGTTAATCTTTTTAAATTTATTTGACCTTGATTATTTACTCAAAAGTATTGATAAAATTTGAAAGCACCAATATCTCACGAAAGAGCTATAAAAATAATATTTTTTTAGCTCGTGCGAATTGTGTAATCTCCGGATCTTAAATCAAACGTAAAAGTACTAGAAAACGATAATGGCAGTTGGGTTCACCCATTTCTGTCTACCCATTGTTTTCACAAAACCAATAATGAGTCCAAAAACTACAAACATGTGACCTCTTTGACCCCAGCCAGATAAGAAAACATTAAACTAGAGACAAAGCGCCGAGCTCAGTCGCCATGTAAGTACGTATTAGCTAACTTTTAATTGAGTTTTTGCAACACCCTTCCCTGGGCGCTTTCTTGCTTAATTCACATCAATTGCCTTTTATACGTTAGCTTGGATTTGTTAGGGTTGCTATTTTGTAGTTTCATGTATTAGGTAAGTAAGTTGGTATGTTTTGCTTTCACTGATGAGAATGTAGTACGTATAGGTATCCATCTCGTTAAGGGTGACATGATTTCAATTTTTGAATTATTTTGAACACTTTATCTTTCACATGAAACTGGTATACAAACAGTTCTTGTCCAGATTTCAAAATATACAATGTACTACGATTAAATGCGCACCTTTTATTACTTTTCATTTAAATATCTTAATCTTAACTATAAAAATCTGAATCACAACGCAACCCTATTACTAACGGTTCGTTAAGCTCGAAAGAAAATCCAAATGTCAAAATAATACGTGTACCTTTTAAGCTAAAGCTGGCGCAGGTAAGCCGTTTATGCAAATGCTTAACACATTAACCTAACAGCTAAACTACCGCGGCGGGCCACGACAGGGCGTGTTTTTGCGCCAGAATGGATGGCGTTTCTTGAACACGGACCACATTGTTTACTGACCACCGCCCGTGTTTATGGCCTAGAAACACTACTGGCACGCCACTGAACAAGATCTATGTACACCCTGTACGATTCGTTTTAATACGATAGAATCTCAAGAGGACTGACCGCTTTAATATTGATTGATTCTGTTGGTAATGATACTTTGTCAAAGTGCTTTATGAATGAAAATCAAAAACTTCACAACTTAAAATAATTAATAATAATTTAATAATTTAATCGTTTATTAATCAAAAACACTTTGGCGATTTACAAAATTGAGCCCGCCAAACTGTAAGAACAGTTTGTCGGCGGAGGCACTATACTCTCAATTACATACTTCAAGTTTGCCAATTTTCCTTTTCTTATATATAAGTATTTACTTTAATTACAATGATAAAGAAATATAGCATGCATTACATAAGTTTAAAGGTTACTTATCTAACTGTTTTCAATGTTTGACAATAACAATTCTGTAATTTTACGTTTGAATGTAAACTTTGACACATCATTTTCATTTATAGTTAATTCATTAAATATTTTTGGTACTAGATATTGTTTTGTTCTTTCACCAAAGTAGTTAGTGGCCCTAAAGAGACTATACTTATTATTACTGACTGCCCTGGTAGAATATGAATGTGTGGCCGTAGTTTTAAACTGGGATTTTCTATATTCTTCCAGAGCAATCAGTAATCTAACTTTTTCATGTACAGGTAGTATTTTACAGATTGGAAACAATTCGATATAATTTTTATTACATTTTTCCTTTACTTTAGTATCGACTAGCGATTTAAGGAATCTAATTTGAAGCTGTTTTATATCTTCAAGATATGAGTCAAATGTGCGGCCATATGTACTCAAACCGTATGAAAGAATAGATTCAACTAACGTGTGATATACAGTATACATAGTAGCCCTATTAGCAACAAACTTTAAGTGGTTGAATTTATCTAAAGTAAGTCTCAGTTTTGAACAGACATTTTCGACTTGTAATTTCCAAGAGAAGTTATAATCCACCATTAGGCCAAGATACTTATAGGTATGAACCAATTCCAATGGGCTACACTGACAACCTACTCCCCTAGTGTGGAGGCACTCATATGAGTGACCAATCACCACCGGTTTTGCACCAACGTTTTTGTTATATGGCGAATATATATGCATGCCTTTGGTTTTACTAATATTAATAATTATCCCATTATCATGGGCCCATTTTACAATGTTATCAAAATCCTGTTGCATTTTTTGCTGTATAACTTGTATGTCGTAATCTGCATATACTAAACAGGTATCATCAGCATACATAAAGATTTTAGAGTGCTGTACAACATTAGGCATTGAATTTACATGCATTATATAACCCACTGGGCCATAAACCGATCCAGTAGGTACCCCATATGTAGTATAAGCCTTTTCACCAACTTCACCACCCACTACTGTCTGAAGAGATCTTCCACTTAAGTAAGCCCTAAACCACTCATTTAGGGGCCCACGGATTCCACATTCTTCCATAGCAAGAAGCAGCTGATGGTGCTCCAAAGTTTCAAATGCTTTTTTGAAGTCTATAAAGATAACCATCAACTATAACGCCTATTCGAGAATGGAATCGATAAAGACAGATTGACAACAAGTAATAAGCAGCACTATCACTACACTTGTGTACGAAACTCAATCCAAATTGTGAGAAACATAACCTGGTCTTCTTCCTAGGAACACCGAGTCGTTCAACCTTGTTTTTGAGCTTTCACAAATTCTAAGCTACCAGCAGCATAGTATTCAAATTAATTTTAGGGGCAGTTCTCATTAACGGACGAATAGCTTTAGCAGTTTTTCTCGGAAATCCTTTTATAAAAGCATCGAAACCTTAATTCAAATGTCCTAAAGTGCTTTTCCGAGTCCATCGGCCATTTCTTGCTCTTAGGTGGATGACACACACACCGGATAATATTACGGTTCGTGACGTCTACTATGACAAACTGTGGAAGACTACGCAAGATGTTGCGGTTCCTGACATCTAAATGTTATTTATTTATTTTACCATTTATTGCACACAAAACATTAAACAAAAGACAAAAACATAAAGATATATGACACAACAGGCACAGCTCATTTCTAGATAGAAATTTCTTCCAGCCGATCGACAAAGAAAGGCAGAGAAGACAATGTACCGAAACCTTGTACCTACAACAGCATAACTAAATTAACAAACAGAAAGAACCAGTAATGTTTTATTTATGTTAATCCGTGAAAGCCGTAATTTGATGCGGTAATGTGTGCTGTAATATCTGGTTTTTGTGTTGGATTTCACGAGGCAAAGCACGATTTTGCAGGATGTAACGGCCACAGTGAAAAGATTGGCTGCTACAATTTGATGCTGTGACGCGAGCCATAGATATTCCGTTTTTGAATTGTATTGGACTACTTTTGTCAAAAACCGGATGCAGCAAAATACCGGAAAGTACAGCATTGTGTATGAGAACCGCTTTCCTTGCTCTTACCGGATCGTCGAAGACATAGTTTTAATTGGACTCCTTCCGTTTTACTTAAGGCTCTTAATTGATCTTTTTGCGTTTTAATTCGGACCGCCGTCTTGGATGACCTAACTGATTAAACGAGATGTAGATTTTCTTAAGAGTTTCTTTCAATATTAAAAATCTGGCCGCCTTTGACATTTTATTAGTTTCATGTGCTAACAAATATTTTCAGATAATAATTATGTTCGATTTAAGAATATCCTTCCTAGATTTTTAGCTTGTAGTATGTACTCAATAAAATGAAATAATGACACGCATTGGTTTATAAGAACCGCATAGCTTAATTTTATACTTCTACATACATTGCTTCTAAAGCGTAGCTAATCTCTACGGCGTAGCGAACTACTACGATCATAGTCCTATAATTCTGAATTACTTCACTAAGTACAGAATGATATGTAATAGAGGACACGAACCTCTATTTAATTTAAGAGAAGTAACAAATAGGATATGACAAGGCAAAGGTGCTAATGAAACTGAACAACTTTTCCCATGGTCAAAATATATTTTTAAAAAATGCGCCTCCCATAGTAAATCAATCAGCTGATCGGCAATTTAGTATGAGAGGTCCATTTTTTTCTATTTTCGCCCCTTGTTCCATGTTATACCCTTTTTGTTACTCCTAGTACATCGTGATTAAAAATTACCTGCTTGAGAAATCCAGCCAGTTTTTTTGGTCCGGTTAACTGTATAGCACACATTTGTACACCCGCACCGCGCGCTCATTAACGCTATGTGATCCGACTGCAGACACTATATTCAGATTTTCTCATTCGTGTATGTGAAATCATACTTGTTCAACTGAATAAATGAGAAATAGTGCTACAGGCTGTAGAAATGTATAAGATTAAGAGGGTTGTGATAATATAAAGTAATATGAGTACCTAAGTATATTACCTATCTACATGTCCATTAGCCCTTTGCTGGACTAAAGCCTCATAAATTGAAAATAAGAAAATTGAAAAATTCATTAGAAACTGCTGGGCGCCGGGGCTCGAACCCGGGACCGTGGGGTACCGTCACACTGCTCTGCCAACTGAGCTACGGGCGCCTAGTGGAGCCTGATGAATTTCTCAACCTCTTGATGCTCGTCTCGAAGCGACGTTAAGCGATTAAGTACCCCACGGTCCCGGGTTCAAGTCCCGGCGGTCGCTAATGAATTTTTCAATTTTCTCATTTTCAAATTATAAGAATAATATAACACTGTGAGTGCATTAAAAATCCCAATACATTATCTAAAGCCTTCTCTTGGATATACACTACACCAGCACAAGCTCAAATTATTTTATTGTCATCTAATCACGATTTTTCACTTCGTTTTAGTTATCTGTCCACCTGGTAAGAATTTAGTACAATATACTGTGTGTGTACTTTCAATACTAATTCGTATTCTTTTTCTTTGCTAAAGAAGGTAAGATTTCACTGCAGTCATATTTCAAGTTAAATATTGCTCGGTCACGCAAGCTAAGGTCATAATTAAAATGTATTCATAATTTAAACATAGCATTAGAGTCACATATTATAAACTGGAAAATAAACTGCAATGTTTGTAAAAAACAAGCTATAAAAGAATGTGAACACGTAAATAGGTAAGTAAGTTTCAATGCACCATAAAAGTGTTTTGGCGTGTTTAGTATTACAAGTAGATCTCTAAGCGACATAACACTAAAACGTACCTACTTAGCATCGTTCTAAACACGCAATCATCACACAATTAGAAGTTTTTTACGAGTTGCAACTGCCAGCTGTATCTACATTAAAAGTCACACAATTTAGCGTGACCGCCGGATCCAAATCGGTTTGCCAGGTTGTAAATTGAAATCGCTAAATGTTGACTCTAAATAATTAATGATAAGTGCCTCTGTAGACCCTTTCACGCTATAATAACATTAACGAAACGAAGTAGGATGTCGAACTGCTAACAGCTGATTAAGTATAAATGCCTAATTTATTTTTACCCGACTGCCCCAGATAGAGGTGGAGGAAAACGTTACGTACGTTTATCAAGAGAAAAAAAAGCAACAAGCCTCGGCAAAATAGAAAAAATACGTGCAGCAACGCAAAATGCGTCGCCAAATCTAAATAATCTAAAAAGAAGTCAATGAGACTCCCTAAATCATACCCTACCCTAAGGTGCCTAAAATACTAGCAGTATTTTTCAAGAGTATGTATATGCGTACTATGTGGATAAGAAATTCTATTTCACGGGCTACAGCCCAAACGGCTAAGTGGATTGTCACATTTAAGGTAAATAACAAGTGAATTTGACTAAGTTAAAATTTCATAAATTCAAAATAGCGTATTTTAAATGAAATAAATAACTTTCAAATTACCGCAGTCGGGTTTTTGTTTCCCATTTAATTGCCCTGCATGCTGAAGTCGATTTCGAGTAACAAACTCGATTACCGAGTACAAAGATACAAAGAAAGAATTTTTCTCTTTCCATCTGATAAAATGTACCTAGTTTTCTACTTAATTGCAAACACAACAACCGTATGCAAATCCCAGCATATTCTTTTGTGAAATGCAACGAAAATCCTCCTTAACAAGCATGCATGACGTTGTCAGTGAAACGAGCAGCGCATTATAAAAAGTGGAATTTAAGAATGAAATTTTCGTACAGAGGTGCGCTACTGTCTTTTTTTTCTTGATATTAACAAAAGCGGACGCGTTTTTCAAAAGCTTGTTATAACAGGTACGAAAATTGTGGGGAATATTAAACGCTGCAGTAAAATAACTTCGAAATACTGTTTGTTTTATTCTTGTGTAGGATGCCAAGTCAGTGAACGATCTGATGCATTATAGCATTCCTACTTATTTTACGTAATCGATTGAAATAGTTAGTTGAGTTTGTTTGTACATACATACATACAAATATAAGAAAACTCATTTTTACGCTTGTGTAGATAAATAATGATAGAAATTGTTTTAAAACTAAAAGAAAAACATCTTTTACTTAGTTTAGGTAAACTTTAAACGAAAAAAATAAAAAGATAATGTATTAAATTTACCAGACACGGAGGGATAGTGTATGTCTCCCTAATACCTACAGGCCCAGGGCTCAACAAAAGGCATGAAAAATGGTTGCTGTGAAGACGTGAAAGGGACAAAGGTAGTCTTATCTGTTGGCAGATTCAACAGCGCTGTGTTCGCATTCAGATGGGTTTTTAGAGGAGTGTGTGGAGTTGAATGGGGTTTTGATAGGGGCGTTAGATGGTTATACAGGCTTACAACGGATGTTTAAAAAGCGGAATGCAAACGAGACGGATGAAAAAAATTGCGACGCGTCAGTGGACACACAAATTCACAATGTAGGATTTGATCTATCATTGGGACGACGACAACGCATGTTTACTCAAGGATTGATTTTTTCTTCGTATTTTTGGGGTTAGTATTACTTTTTAAAAGGAAAACAAAATAAAATGTGGACATAAGACAATGTTGTGAGTTATTTGGATTGAGATATACCTATTCATGAAGTTATACGAGAAGAGAAACGAATCCACCGTCATGCATTTCTTTTTCTTTTACAATGTCATCCCACACGCTCCGTGACGACAAAGTCAAAGTGATATATTTCCTAGGAACGGGATCATTGTCATACGAATGTCGGTTTGTACGCATATGCCGACCGCATTTCGTATGCACCCGCGTCGTAAAACGTAATGTGCGCCGTCTTCGCCTGTTAGCGTAATGTGCAACGTTGCAACAATCATAGCGGGATATGTGTTGTGAGTCTAACAATGATAGAAGGTATTCGAGCGGAAAGTCTTTGAACGCAATATTATAAAAATCTGACACCTTTTCAATTCTTTGTGTATTCGGTATACATAATAATAAGTCTATGAAGTATACTATTTAAATAGCATGCTCGCAGATATGTTCCAAAGATAAACTGATGTATCATCGTAGGACGATATTCTCAAAGTTTAAGTTTACATTGAGTCATAGGCACTGTTATAGATTGTTGTACGTTGCGCTCTGCAGTATTTGCAGCATCGCTCGCAATAAGATATGTCAGTTCTTCTGAAAATTATCATAAAAGTGTAGATTAAGTATTGACATACTGATGAAGAGACAATTTATGTCGCTTGATTGCATGCTAATAGGCCGTATACCTACGACGTACTATGCTAAAAGAAGAAAGAAGAAGTTTATATTATATAAATAATAAGTTATGATATTGCGCCGACCCCAACTGAACCGACATATAAAAAAGCAATCTAAACTAACCTTTGTTTTGAAAACACACCGACACAAAACAAAAAAACACAGTATCATTGAACTTGTTCCCCCAAATGCAATGTTCTCGCGAACGCAAATATCTACACTCGTTCTTTTGAAAAGGAAAGGAACGAAAAGAAAATGCAAGACGACATTTAGTCTCAAAGTTCTCCACATTAAGGACCTCCAGGGATCGGCCAGATTCATCAATGTGTCTATTAGTGCGCCCGGTGTGCACCAAGACACAGTAAATGTAAAGACAGTAGATTTAGCGTATTTTTTGCGGTTCGGTGTATTCAATCAATAAAAATAAACTTTATTTCTGCTATGAATGTTCGATTCACAATACTTGTCTATCCTAATCTATTTATCACATGAATGCCATATTTATAAGTAGGTAGTAGGTTCGGTAGTATTATTAAAAAAAACTACACCTATCCTTGTTCATATAGTTCAGTATTTGCAAGTGTACCTACCAATTTTTCCATGCATGTACATGTTCAATTAAATACATGACAGTTTGGCAGTTACTAATTATGACCACATTATCAAAAATTCGGGGACTGGCGCGCGGGGCGCCTATACGTGCCAACTCTATATTTTGTGAAATTATTCCCGTTATGTTAAAGGCTAAATACTATAATGTACTGTTTTTCTCGCTACTGTGACCGTAGTCCGACTCACAAGCCGCTAGGGAGCCATTCTTTCATTTATTGAAATACGCTAAAAAGCGCCACAGATAATGTAAATGTATTGCGTCTGGTAACCCTCGAGAATACTTTTCTGAACCTAATTCATTTATTAATGGCAATATACACGCAATGTATCTAATGGCTGGCATGTTAGGTGTATTTAAAAAAAAATATAACTTTTCGTTATTTTAGTTAACAATGCGGCCCGTCAGAGGTTTTACCCCGTGCAATTTATTTTCCCGCGGGAAAAGACATTTTTACGGCATGTATTATATTGTATTTGACTATCAATAAGAAAATCTTTGCGCGGTTTATGAGTTAGCAAATTTCACGTTAGACCAACAGAGAAACGCAAAAACTGACTTCATTCTATATCTACTACGTATTGCTGATAATAAAATTGATGTTGATATTTTAGTAACTAAGAGACGGGTAATTAAAAAATATCATTATTTTACTAGATGCGGTAGGTTCTTTTTATTTTTCTAATGGGATTTAAGTAATAATTTCTGAGCTTTTGTTCTTAAAAATCCAGACACAAACAGCAACGCCAAAGTCTAGACCAAAACATGCTAGTCTAAAAATGTTTTCAATGGGAATTGCTCACATAAATATCATTGCGTTACAACTCTCAACACGAAATAAATCGCGCGTCCGAGTGGAGTATCGCATAAAGAAGATTGGTTCCGTGCAATTTCGGTAATGCACGACTTGGCGGAATAACAGTACTGAGGGGCCTACATTCCTGTTTGGACTTATACTCAAGAAAAGAAATGAAACAAAACAAAGAAAAAAAAACCTAATATTACCAGTTCCCATCATGTAACAAGTAGATGTGTGCGACTGCGGTAATTTTAAAGTAGTATTTTGCTGTATAAATCTGCCATCTTGAATTTATGAATTTTTAATATATTCAGTGTCACTCGCGCTGCTGAGACAAATTTAACGACTCCCTTATGGCAAAATCCAACTATGGTTTGGGCTGTAGACCGTGAAAAAAAATTTTCTTGTTCACATACATACATACTCTCGAAAAACATAACCCTCCTTCTGAGACAGTCGGGTAAAAACAACGCTGAGCAATCAATTATCGAAGAGATGTTGTCCCTTTATTCCACATTACTACCAATACAAG